CCGCCATGGACTGCAGGGGGACACCCTGCCTCACCATGGTCTGCTCCACGAGCTTCAGGGGAAGACTCTCTGCTTCTTGAGCACCTGCTACGCCTCCTTCTTCACTGACCTTGGAATCTGCAGAGTTGTTTCCCTTACATCATCTCACTCCTCTCTCCTCACTGCCATTTCATTGCAGGTTTTTTTTCTTCCCTTTCTTAACTATGTTATCCCAGAGGCGCTACCACCAACTCTGATTGGCTTGGCCTTGGCCAGCAGTGGGTCCATCTTAGAGCCGGCTGGCACTGGCTTTATCAGACATGGGGGAAGCTTCTCGTAGCTTCTCACAGAAGCCACCCCTATAGCCCCCCAACTCCCAAGTAAAACTTTGTCATGCAAACCCATAACAGTTCTTCAATCTCTGTCACATCCCCAGACCCCTCATCATCTCTTCGTCAAGCTGAGGAGCCTTTGCCAACTTGCCCATTCCTTGTATAGAAGCAATGGAGGACTCCTGGCCATCCCTCCTGCTCATCTGAGCCTCTGAGATGGACCAAAACTGCAAACAATTTCCAAGAGGTATATGCACTGTGGATTTATTTAAGGGCATAATGATGTTCTCTGCTTTGTCCTGCTTCTCTTTCATAATGATCCCTAACGTGGTTTGCTACTTTTGATTGGCACTTAGCACCGAGCTGACCTTTCCACATGACTGCCTATCACCATCCAAAGATCTTGCTCCTGAGCAGCAACAGTCAGCTCGAGCCTGCTGCTTTAGGTGGGAAAACAGGATGAAATGAGGAAATTAGGTTCTCTCCATCTTTCCCATATTCCTTCACTTCACAGTTGAATGTCTTCTTCCATTTTAATGCTCACTGAGCTTCATAAAAGCTTTTTTGCAATTCTATAGGTCAGGCCTTATCCTTTGTGCCCTGATTAAACTTTGTTTCGCCTGCAAATATCACCATCTCATGATACACTATTTTTCTGGTTAGAGATGTATTGAACCCCACATATCCCAGCCCCTGTCCCTGTAAAGCGCGTTGCCGACCTCTCTTCCATACGGTAACTCACCATCCACTCCCCCCCTGCATTTCACCGTTTGGACAAGTATTTATTCACACAAGGAGCTTCCTTTTTAACTCAGGACTAAAAGTCCCTGCCATGAGGGACCGTACTGAAAACCTTTCAGAAAGCCAGGCAGACTACACCAACTCAGCCACACACTTGCTGTCTTCTTCCAAGCACTCCCATACAGTTGTGAGGCTGGGCTGCCTTTTATAAACGCAATACTGACTTTTTTTCCTTGGATGTAATTGTGTATTACATGCACCCACTCCTCCTTCAAAATTCTCAGCTCCCTCCCCTGACTTCTATTTACTTGCTGGATTTACTGGTTTCTTTCAAGTTAAAAAATGACAAGAAAAAATAAAAATCAAGAAACAACTAAAGCTGTCTAGAAAATATTAAGCAGGAAATCTCGTCCTCTGCCCCTCCTCATTGGAGCTGGGGCTTGCTGACTGAGACCTGAAGCTCTTCTACTCCTCCAGCGCTAAGAACAACCAGGCTTGCTGAATGTCAAGCTCGGAGGCAGGGCCCTGAGCAGGCGCTGCTAAAAGTCTGCAGGGTGTCTTAAGCACATCAGTCTGAATGAAAATGTTCCTCGGACAAGATTTCACATCCTGGTAACACCCCATAAAAATAAAATAAAAAATCCTGCCTCCAGTTCTCACGTTATTGACAGGAAAGTGGATAATCTGCGCCTTTCTTCCAAACGACCCTGCTGAGGATGTCATCAAATTGGATGAGGTCCCGCAGAACAGTTGATTTCAATGCAACCACACTTCCCGGCAGAAAAATTGCTCAGCCCGTTCTCCTCCCTACGTGGTCTGCACAGACAGCACAGTGACCACTGGGTGGCAAAACCACGAGTTGACCACGCACGGCCACGCAGCCAGCCGAGTCACAGAATCACAGAATCACAGAATAGTAGGGGCTGGAAGGGACCTCTGTGGGTCATCTAGTCCAACCCCCCCGCATAAGCAGGGTCACCTACAGCAGGCTGCACAGGACCTTGTCCAGGCGGGTCTTGAATATCTCCAGAGAAGGAGACTCCACAACCTCCCTGGGCAGCCTGTTCCAGTGCTCCGTCACCCTCAGAGAGAAGAAGTTCCTCCTCATGTTCAGACGGAACTTCCTGTGCCTCAGTTTGTGCCCATTACCCCTTGTCCTGTCACTGGGCACCACTGAAAAGAGCTTGGCCCCATCCTCCTGACACCCACCCTTCAGATATTTATAAGCATTTATTAGGTCCCCTCGCAGCCTTCTCTTCTTCAGGCTGAACAAGCCCAGTTCCCTCAACCTCTCCTCGTAGTGGAGATGCTCCAGTCCCCTCACCATCCTTGTAGCCCTCCGCTGGACTCTCTCCAGTAGCTCTTCATCCTTCTTGAACTGGGGAGCCCAGAACTGGACACAGTACTCCAGATGAGGCCTCACCAGGGCAGTGTAGAGGGGAAGGAGAACCTCCCTTGTCCTGCTGGCCACACTCTTCTTGATGCACCCCAGGATCCTATTGGCCTTCTTGGCAGCCAGGGCACACTGCTGGCTCATAGTTAACCTGTCGTCCACCAGGACACCCAGGTCCCTCTCCGCAGAGCTGCTCTCCAGCAGGTCCACCCCAAGCCTGTACTGGTGCATGAGGTTGTTCCTCCCCAGGTGCAGGACCCTGCACTTGCCCTTGTTGAACCTCATCAGGTTCCTCTCTGCCCAGCTCTCCAGCCTATCCAGGTCACGCTGAATGGCAGCACAGCCTTCCGGTGTATCTTCCGGTGTGAGTCACAGAACCTGCCACCGTAAGG